CGTGTTAGAAAGAGTAATTCAACCAATATCTTTTTCACGACCTTTCGCTAAATAAGTTTTGCTTTCTCTAATTACTAATTTCTCTTTGGAATTTATTAGATCTTACCAATAACTAGAACCAGAGGGTATTTCTTTGGGTTCTCCATGTTATTCTCAATCGGTATAACGACTCCTGCACATGACATACTGAACACCTGCATTCCGACGAATTCAAAGTACTGATACAGTATTGTTATCGGAACCAAGCCTTCAAATGAAGGATTGTATACGAACGCATAGTAGATAGCAACAAATATGATGAACACTGAAAAAAATACACGATTTATGCTTTCCAGTTTGGAGATTTAATTAAATTACTGATAAATACACATCGCAAAAAGGCCAGTCCACTGTGCCGAATTTAATTTCCTCTCTTTTTATTTCTTATTCCACTTCCTAATTAGATCATTATGTACCTGTCGCAGCCACCTAGCTTAATCAGCCCTTCAATAATTAGCCTAGCCTTTTAACTAAACAGCTCCGTTCAACTAGCGGCCTGAATTATATTCAGCCGTAGCGTTTGTTACAACAGGTAATAAACTGGCTAATGCTTAGGCCATTCGTACGATAGGGTGATTCTAGAATATGTATATGTACAAGTAATGAAACGTCATCGATCCAAGTCATTTGCCTAGCTGTTTGATCAACTGGCTGAATATTTTTGAGGACGCTAGTTAAAGGGCGCTGTTTAGTTAATAGGCTAGGCTGTTAATTGAACGGCTGATTAAGCTAGTTGGCGGCGACATCCCTATTACATAATATTCTGACTAATTATATTCAGTACTTGTACGTAGTATTTGAAAGTGTGTGTTAAATTAAGAAGGTTTTGAATTCAATATACTTACATACAACAAGGTTAGCGCCTATAGAAAATGGCGCCAGCCACTTCAAGTGAGTTATCAAACATATTAATATTACCGGTACTATCATGCATGCCAGGTAGACTCTTAGACTGGGATACCCTGAGAAAAGAATTATAAGACTGGTGACAAAAGAGAACGCGGTCAGTGTTCCAGCAGGATTTCTAGCATTTCGCGTTGTTTGTTTCATGAACGGACATACTCGTAGATAAACGGGAACAAGTCATGTGCTAATCACGAGTTTTCGTTTTACATTTTCTCTGCCTAGATATACATTAAGACTTTGGTGGGCAAAAATGCCTTGTGAACTGAGCTACAAAGCAGAATGAACAGAAATTTTCTGCGTTTAGTAATCTGTTCATACAATAATACCTTCATTAATCCCCTCTATAGACGTTCTTTGGGTGTTCTCAACCAGCTGTTTCAGAGATTTCGCTATAATAATTTGATAGCAGGCGCAAGCACCGAATAAATCTATACAAATGATAGCGTCAATGGAGTATCTGCAAATGTAAAAATCGTTATATCGTCTTTAGTAATTTTTTTTATTGATAAAAGGCTTGCCAACGCTCGGTACACAATGGTAAACACAACACAAAATACAAATTTTAATGCGACAGCACTAAAGGCAAACATGACATACAGTAAAATATAAAAATACTAATCAAAAAAATAACAAACATTAAAAAAAAAACATTACAAAAAAAAATACAAAAAACTAAAAAATCGATTGTATAGTGAGAGGAGAGCAACTATGGATATCCAGACCTAGATCGTTAATCAGAATGCTTAATCTGGACATGGGTGAGCTTTGACCAAAACGCGTTCTACGAAAAGGAGGGACAAATGGAATAATGGGATGCCTGGGGTATCGAGAGGGTATTTAGATAGAAGGTTCGGGCAATCAATCTGATTGTTAAATATCTTAACTGCAAACGATATATAAATTTTCTGCAATTCTCCAATCGCAGAAAATTAAAGCAAGAAGAAGACAACATCTTAAAGTGCACCAACCTGGTTTCGTACGTTGGCAACTTTTTTTTCGTGGAGCCACTGGAGAAAGGCAGATGCCACAGGAACCTCTTTTGTAATCTCTCGAGTCGTAGCATTATTAAAAAGTTGAATGCAAATTACCTGAAAAACCTGGAAAATCTTGCAACTTTCGGGTTTGGAAAGCAAGCCATAGCCGCTTCTCCCACGTCGGGGTACGACATACTCGGCACACGAGTTCTTCGATACAGCTTTTGGGCCGACATCACTAAAATCTGCAAAGTGTGTAAGCACCGACTAAAATGTCTGTGTGGGTTTAGGAATAAGACTTTACAATTTAAAAAAAATATTCTTATTCATCTTTAGTTAATAGATAAGGCCGCCAGTTAGCCTCCTTTTCAATCAATTGTATTATGTAGCAACGAAGTATTAATAAATAAATAATATTGTTTAATTTTTATATTGAATTCTCGAGTTATAATAGCTTCTTTAATTTGTGTTAGGGCGTATCATACCTCCAATACACAAATGTCAAATTGTATGTCTTTTTTGGACCTTATATCAAACTTTATATGAAACAAGCTGACGCGGCAATCGTTGTTTTGGCATGTATATTATTTCTAGGATTTTTTTTTAGTTCAATAAAAATGACTATGTACTATGATAAAAATAGGGGTTGATCGTAGAGGGGTGAAAATTAAGGGTTGTATGTATTTTTGTATGCTGTATTATAAAAAAATAAAAACAAAAAAAAATCTAAAAAATAAACAATTTTTTTTCGGGTGGACCACCCTTAACATGCATACAATATGCATAAAAAATTCATTAGAATCGGTCGAGCCGTTTCGGAGTAGTATAGGAACGAACATTGTGACACGAGAATTTTATATATTAGATATTTTGATTCAACATAGCTTCGTCAAGAGTTAAGATGACTATAGCTCTTACCGCATAAATTAAAGCTTAGAATTACTTACGTATAAGCAGTAGCCCATGTAAATGCCAAAGAGGATATTAAAAGGTGCAGCTATGGCCACACCAGCCTTCATATAAGCAACGTGACCACCTAAGATTCCTCCTCCCAAAGCACCTTTCACCATGTGAGCTATGGATCCAATGACACTGCAATTTTAGCAAAAAGGCGATTGTTTTTCGGCTTTTAAAATACCACATTTTACTTACCTTACTACAATGGCCTACAATCAAACAAAACACTGAATTAGTAACTCTTATTTGATAGCTAATCACTATTTAGCAGCGACTTCGCTTTGCCGTCCCTTTATGAAAACCTAAGACTAATATTGTTAAGAATATTGGGGACTGCGAAGCGCACCATACATCGATCCTGACCCAACTCCGCATACGGACTCGCCTATCTACCATATGCAGACAACGAACCATAATTCAGCCATAAAATGCGCAGAGGCGAGGGGAACTGATCGTGGTTGGTAACACAGAAACAAAAGATCACGTGGGCGTTCACCAAACAGCTGGACCGATCCAGTGAAAGAGTCATCGTCCTCAAAACTGTACGCTGTAATAAGAGGCGCTGGAGAGAAACAGGTGGAAACAGATATTGTCTGCTTTTTTGCGATTGCTACTTGCTGACCACGACGCTCAGTCATGAGCTACCGCCCCAAAGAAAGAGAAGACTAATTTTATAAATAAGCGCCGTCTTCTTTCATAAGATTCACTGCTTTGAATACCTATAAACGTGAAAGGATGGCAAACAGAATTTAATATATTTATGAATTCTACTATTTTCTTATTACCCTGTCGGCTTAGGAATATTTCTAAATTTCACATAGTCGAAAGCATCTTCTTCGGCCTGGTTTTTAGTATGGTTCCGGAAATTTCCTCGGCCACCTGGCTCTGCCTTTATAGCCTGTAAGAAAATATCACCATGATAAGGTCTTTCAAATACATATTTAAAGAAAGTATTGTAAAATCAGGTAATTCCATACAGACGATCGTATTAGTTTTATTCGGAAATGCTAGGTTTTAAAACGTAGAGAAGAAGCTTTAAGCGCTGAGAAAGAGGCATGGAGAGCTTTATGCTACTTTAAATTAATCGTTTTTACTAAGCATTAGGTCATCCCAACTACATTTCTAACAAACAATTGTTTTAGTGGGAAATGTGAGGAAAATATAATAATTATTTTAATACCTTGAGATAAAACATTAAAAGAGCTTACCATTTTAACAATACGATATTATTTAAATTAATTTAAAAATAAAAACATTATCTAAACACGCATAAACAGTTCCACAAATTTATATTAAAAAGAATCTCAATGTCAACGTTAGTCTTCTATCAGAAAAAGAAGTTTTGGTTGCCAGACTTATTTCAAGTAGAATCTCTGTAGTAAATCAAATTTATATTAAAAAGAATCTCAATATCAACGTGTCTTCTCTCGGAAAAAGAATTTTTGGTCGCCAGACTTATTTCAAGTAGAATCTCTGTAGTAAATTATCAAATTTATTATAAAATCTGAATTATTAGCTAAGTGTGTTACCGGATATTATTTAGCGTCTACATTGATATACATTTATTTTTAAATTAAATTATGGTTAAGTCAATCTTCAACTCGCAGTTGCACGAATTTTTATTAGATCCGGGGATCTACTTTAGCATAAAACAATTCACATTTAAAATGTAATGTCCTTATATTTAGTGTAAAATAGTGTTAACTTTGAAAACATCTCATATAATATATCATAATAATTATACACTTATTGTGACTGACGCCTGTTTAAGAAAAATAGCAGTAGTGCTTCGAAAACTCAAGCGATTGCAAAACGCTTTTGGTTACTAGAATGCTAAATTCAGAGCATTAAATATGATTTATGGCCTTCCTATAACAAATGAAAGGTGTGAGAATGTGTCAGTATATAGAATCACGTAAGTATTAAAATTATTATTTAGATAAAATATGGAAAATACATACTAAGGTGGTGTAAACTGCTAATGCGATTAAGCACGGCTGCTATTAAAAATGAAATTTCACAAATCGATTTTGCGGTACGGATATAATGAATCAGTTTAACGCCTTTAATAATCACTAGTTTATAATGTGATGTAAGTTGTGGAGTGTATTCTAAAGTTTGACGATGAAAAGGATTATGCGTATTCTATTTTTGATGAGTTTTGTTTATTTATTAAAAGCTGACGAGGTAAGTTTTATAAGAAATAACAAGTGTTAACTTATATTTATTTATCATCAGAACTGTATCGTTTCACAGGATGCAATCCCTGATGAAAGCAAGACGACTTTCGAAGACTATCCATCAATAGAATTAGCTATCACTCCTATGGATATTGCCAGTGATATGGACGAGAAACCTGACTATGGTATAATAAAATATATAGATGATGTTTTATATAGTGATGAATTAATTTTTTATAACATATAAAATATTATTGCACGTCACCTTACAGCATATTTGAAGGACCCTTCCAGTGAAGAAGTTTATAAAGCCGCTAAGGTTAGCATTCAATACAAAGATTCTTCAAGTGAGCTAAAAAGCGAAAAAGACAGTGAAAAGGCCGTAGAGAATTTAAATACTACAGATACTGCTGGAATATCTCACAGTTTAAACCATAAAATTATATCTGAATTACCAAATAATACGGATAGTAATAACCAAAATCAAACTTTAATACATAAAAGTGTCCATGACAGCAACATTATAAATGAAAATAAAACCATTTCGGATAGCCAAGAAGATAGAAAACCTGATGCTCAATTAGTTGACAAAACGTTTAAATCTGACTTAGAAAACCCCAGTAAAATAAGTACTACTTCACCCAAACCAAAGACAACAATAAATGATATGGATGATTTAATATTAGATAAGTACCTCAAAAATTATGACGATGATGAATTTAATAAAAGTCTTTATCACGAAACTCAAAGTAAATCTGATGAAAGTGATTCTGAACTCGATGGATTAGATCACGATTTTCGACCAAGCAGAAGAATGTTTGATTTTGTCCCTGATATGAATTATAAGGGAACCTCTGAAAGCCACCAACTTTTGGAGCCTAGTATTCCAATTAATGCACATCAGCCGCCATTAGGTAATTTATTTACTGTATTGTGTACTTTACAAATTAAATATTAGCTAACTATAATAATATTCTTTCTTTTCAGATGATAGACCAAATCCTTCAAATACTTTCTCACCTATATTATTACCAAACAGACCCGTACCAGATCTATACAGACTGAAAAACATACGGTTACCTCACAACTACAATGAGGGGCCATTCCAATTTGGTGGCTCACGAGACATACTAAACCCTAACTCAAGAGAAACATTATTTGGACCAAATGATGCAGAAGAAAATAAGCTTAAGATTCAAAATGGATTGGGCATATTACAGGAAATGATAAATAATCCAAATAGAATGGCTCCAGAAATCCCGGACGAACCGGGCCCCAATAAATGGGATCAAGCCCCTACCTTGTATAATGAACCAAACACATGGATACCTAACGTGATGACGGTACCAAATAGCTGGAAACCGGCACCGGGATACCAAAATATTCCAAATGGCTGGTTACATCTGAGTACAATAAACACTCCAAATGGTTTTATTCCGACAGGAAAAAACTGTCACAAGAAATAAACGATCCTACGGACTTTAAAACAAACGCCATCTTTCCGTTCGAATATACCACTTTAGACTCTAACGCCTATCCCTACGTTTTAGCAAAAAGGGCCAAAATAACTGAAACAAATATAAATCCAATATATAGAAACCTTGCTCTACCCTCAAGTCTTCCCAATCCTCAGCTACCATATGTCGGATTTGGTATAATAAGATATCCTGGTGCTTATCCAACTTTTGATCCCAGGATGATGGCTCGAAGAAATCTTGCATTGGTTCCAAGTTCTCAACGATTTTTAATAGACAACGGTTTTCTCTACAATCGAATGTGCTGTTATTAATTTGTAAAATTATAATGCATATTTAGTTACCTCTCAGCTATAACTAGCCTCGTGATTGACGAAAAAATGTCGCGATAGTCTTCTAATAAAACTGATTGCAAATTCCTATTCCATAGGTATAGATCATTTTTTATAGAAGGTATAAATATTTATAAAAGGTTCTATACAAGTATAAATATTATATTATTATTAATCATAATATTCTTATAATTTAATGTTTAAATAAATAAGTTTAGCTATTGTATCTTTTTGTAAAAAAAAATATAAACAAACTTTACCTACATAGTAGGTAGGTACATCGGGGGCCGGTTGTATTAAAGTTACGCTACCTCTTGTAAATCACGGAAACAATCATACATAAATTGTGGGAAGAGCAATAAATGCAAATAAATGAAGTATGTGAGTATAAAAAAAAAAAAAAAAATAATAATAATTCAACAATTTAATAATTGTTAATATGTTGTATTTATTATATACACACAAAAAAGTTAATTTACTTAAAAATTACTTGATCGTAATTTATAACACAAATAAGGTCATTATTTGATCACGAGTTTTAATGCTTGCCGCAAAAGCGGCTCCTTAATAATTATAATTAGAGTCTGGCTAATGAAAGAAGATAATTGAATTATTTGAAACCTTTCGGATGGCAACACAGAATGTCATTGAATTTCTTAGGTTAGTATGACTTATTGTCTTGATACTTCATGCAATTACTCATTTTTATTTCTATTATATTTTTTTTTCGAATAGTTAACAGGTATAATAGCCTAAACTTTGTTTTATTTGATAGAATATTTCGTTTCTTTCGCAGGATTTTATTGTTCCTAATAATGTTGTGTTTAATAATAAATATAGTTTTAGTTTTCCATGCAATGATAGTCATTTTAAGTATCAATAGTAAAAGACTAAATACGTATAGTATTTAATTTCATAGAAATACAGTTACTATCAATGTAAAAAAAAAGGGTGCGTGTACTTATGTACGCGCGTAAGAAGTTATACTTCTTTGGCATTATTAAAAATAGTTTTTGATTGCATGCAAATAATTAATTACAATTAAATAATCAAAGACTGGAAAAGGAGTCATTATAGTCAATTAAGTTCAGTTTACATTTGAAAAATTAAATAAATAATTATTTATTATTATTCTCTTACATTAAGTGTAACATAAATTCTATTTAGTTAAAAGTATATATAATTATATATTTAGAACATCTCTACCAAACACTAAGAAGTATGTTGTAGCTTTGGCAGTATTGCACAATATAAAATTAATAAATTTCTTTGAAAAATTAATCAAAACTCCTTTATTTGTTTAAAAGGTAAATGACAAATGTCATTATGGTCATTCAAAATTCTTGGCATACGAACTTCACGCATATTCTATTTCTTTTTACTTGTAGATTGTCTTATTCCTATCTCGCTCGCGCACGCTATAATCACACTCCCAATTTTGTGTCACAGGTGCGCGCGCATCGTAAAATTTCACTCTCATAAATTTTTCATAACGCGCCTAAAGAAGTATAACTTCAAAAATTATAAAATAAAATCAAGTATCAAGTAAGTTTAATCCACAAAATATATCAAACTTTTAGGGATACCATACTAAATCTTCTTTCATTAGCCAGACTCTATTATTTATTATATGTCTAAGGTTAATAGCAATTCATTATGCATTGTCAAAGTCAAACAATTTAATAGTCTGTTACAGCTGTAAAGGAAAATATTTCTTTTTATGATTTACCTTCAATAACGTAAATATTGTCCTAGTGTTTTGTATTTGAAGTCCTAAACTTTTAACTATTCTTATATTTTGACTAAGTAGCGTTCTTTATAATTTAAATTTGTTAATCTTTCCTTGCATCATGGGAAAGAGGTACCATTGTGAGTATTGTGATAAAACTTTAGTAGCAGCACCATCGACTATCAGGACGCACAATAATGGATCAGTACACCAAAAACTCGTAAACGATCATTACCAACAGTTCAAAGGTTTGTATTTAAAGCCTTGTTGCCAAACTTCGTATATATATATATATATATAATGTGTGTTTGTATTCGGTTTATGTTTACCTAGTATGGTGTAGAATACTAGGTGAACATAAAGCTAAAAGTGACTGCTCTAAACATACAACCCTGCATCTGTCTTACAACAAATTTTGCCGTTTGCTTTATAGAAGACTTGATTTAATCCTTAACATAATGTAATATATTTTTTTAGACCCTGAGACAATACTAGAAGAAGAAAGCTCAAAGAGACCTTGCACTAGATATATTACAAGCCAGTGTCCTTTCGGCAGCATATGTAGATATTCACATTATACTCCAGAGGAAATCAATAATTTAAAATATTATGGTAAGTTTTAGTGTTTTACTTGTCAAATATTATGTAAAAGATTATTTGGTACATTATGTTATGCCCTGTTCTCTGTGCTGTTGTTGGCCAAAAATATGCAAATAAAATATACAACCTTAAGCCTTAAGAAATGCATAGATCAAGCAAGTTCATTAGGTGTGACAGGTTTAATTAATTTTAGCTTTTCAAATTATAGCCCTAAATAATTTTAAAGTTAAATCGTGTAATACCTAAATTGAGTATTAAAATACTCTCAAATTAAAAGCCATGTTACATTTTGTTTGACTATTTATTGCAGTTGCTGAAAAGAAAAAATTACAAACAAAAAATCCAGTATCATTTGGGGATATATATGAAAAATTTATAGTTGACAATACCACACAAGTTACCACAAAGGAAAATGAAAGTGTAATTTATGATTCAAATGGATACACACATATCTTGCCATGGGCATATAACCCTATTTTTGACAATTACAGTGATTTGCCACCAAGTATAAAGCGGTTAAAAATGTCTGATTTTGACAATAGCAATATTGTGACATGGGGTTAATATATATTTCACATAAAGTTGTGTTGTTGTTTATTACTTATGTTTTATAATACTGCTATTTAGGGCCAAAACATCGGTATGCTTGCATGGCTGTTATTAATATGTATCTGCAATTTATAATTAACTTGGTTTATTATAACTTTAAAAATCGTCTTATAGTTCTTGTTCTTGCTTTATGACCTCTAGATGTAACATACAGTAAAGGTGGGTAGTTGATGAATCTGAAATGTGGCAACACTGTTCGATGCATTAATACCTGTAAAAATGTTGTATTTATTTTAAAAAACAAAAAGTGTTATTAAAGTATGCGGTATAAAAGTTTAAAATTGCACCTACTTGGCATGGTAATGCAGCGAAAAATAATAATATTAAAAATCGATAATAAAACATTTTATATGCACAGTTCAATTATTTTTGCAGTTTTATGTGTAAATTATTCGAAGCAATATTGAATAGCCAATTTCTTCGAAAATATTATTTTTTTATAATCACCGAACCTTTTGAAAAACCATTTATTCAATACAATTTCTGTAAATATAATATTACGTATATATATATATTATAATAGTTATATATATTATATAGTTATAGTAGTTATATATTTCCATTTTTAACATGTTTTTTCTTACAGTATACCCAGTACCTATTGCTTTACTAGCAGTTTCATTATAATAGTGTTTTCTTGATAAAATTTCAAGTTAATGATGCGTAAAGGAAGTATGATTAAAAATAACTTTGATGTGAAAGAATTATGATATTACTTCTACTTTTCTGTGGAATAAAATTATATGTAAGTTATTATTTACTTATCTGCAGTAAATAAATAACTAAAGGGTTATTTCTAGAATATAATTCTTTATTTGAATTAATCATTAGATAATCCTTATGATTAATTTATTTAATTAGTCTGTCCTTTGACATAGTATTCCGAGTTTCATAGCCGATCTTCCATCTCGCTTTATCTCGAGTCTCGACCTCCACAAAAAAGCTTTAGTACAAAACAAAACACGTAATTATTGCGTCTTTTGTTTTACTTTCTAATCGCCTTTGGTTTTTTTTTGTCAGATGTTTGTATCAGTACAATGTGAAACGTTAGACAGTCCATTGTTGGTTGTACTAAGCAAGCAGCAAAGTCAGGAATTGCCAATATTAAGAATGAAAGACAAAGCACTAACTCCGAAACCTACGAAGATAAGCCTGATCCACACTAATAAAATGATAGAACTTATGAACTTTATGAAAGATCACTATTTATCAACAAATTATTTTTACGAAGAAATGTTAAGGATCCAAAAGACACACAAAATCAAAAACAAATTGAGACAAATGGTAACATTTTTAGAGCGTCCTGATAATAAGGATTTAAGAAAAAATGTGCTTAAATATTATTGGGGGAAGAAAATATCTATTCAAAAGGCTAAAAAGAAAGACCCATGGAGAGTTAAACCAAATGACGTAGTTATAAATTATTTGAAGGATCCTTTCAATTATTGATTAAAATCAGTACGCATTTTAAGTCATTTTTATTGTAGTTATTGGCGTTACGTTTTGCTATAGATGGCCCATTAGAAACCCATGCATATTCTGGTAGCTCAACAACAATGGTAACATTTTGTATGAAATAATATTGGCCTACGTTCCAGAGCTGACCTCTTAAATAGTAGCAATGATTCAACATTTTTTTTTTGACAAATCAAATCAATATCATTTATTCGTATAGGTACCTAACACAATGTAAACTTATGAACGTCAAAAAAAATACATATTAAATGCTTCTTATTTTACATTTACTACCAGTTCTCAAATCAAGGGCGTAGGGCGTAAACTCTCCGCCACTCTTTTTAATTGCCAAGTTTTATGTGTTACACAATGTTTGTAACTATTACACCATGTTCCACATGACATCTTAAATAATTAATAGTTATTTAATAATAATAAAATAAAAACAAAGATTTGTGTTCTTTCAGCAGGAAGCATTATTATTATTATTAGGTATATAAATACACTAGCAGCTTAATAAGCTGAGCGTGTATTTTGAGATTTGGAGAAATTATCCAATCTATTTTTATCGGAGTTAAAAGATGGTGCACTGATTACACTTTCCGGAAGGCTATTCCAGTCGGCCACTACTAGGTTTGGGAGAAAGTTCTTTAGCAAGCATGGTGAAATAAAAGGCAAATTCTCGTGGGAACAACATGCAAATACAGTGTCGAAATAACTAACATCACCGCATACACGAATTCAAGTCCGACTAGTCACCACAAGTAGCATCCTTTCATGAGTGTGACCAGCCATCGGCTCCCTGGGCATATTTTAGGGAGAGAGACAACCCGACGCATGGACGCCATGAATTAACTTTGATAAAATAAAACCTCATAACGCCAATGCTAAAACATTTATTGTTGTCTGTGTATAATATATATTAGCAAAATAATTATTCAATTTAAACGAAAAACCTATATCGTTATAATAGTAATCTGAAAATTATGTCTTGAATTTTCATGAAAACATTCAAACAAAACACACTTTTATTAAAATTTTATGTACATATTTCTCTTTGTAAAGGTACTTTTTATTCAGAATCATCATTTATTACATACAACAATCGTGGTGAGATCTTTTTTAACTCGGTAACAAGGTCGTACAAATTAGATCCTGGTTGAAATCGTAGATGTAATGAATTCTGTAACAAAAATATTTTTAAACCCCAGAAATGTAGCAACAAGAATAGTTTTCATGGCAATGAAATCTTTTCAGTACTCAGGTATATTTGTTAACAGTTCAGCTATACAAAAATGCGGGGCTACAACCCCTAGGCTCTTGGCCTCAGATTTCTCTTCGTAATAGTCAAGTAGGTGATCAGCTTACTGGACTGACACACGTTGTCTATTTTTAAGTCTAAGACAAGAAGTTTTCTTCACGATGTTATCCTACGCGGTGTTCAGCTATACCTATAGGGGCTATATAACATAGGATACCTATACCTACTTTTTTTAATAGATGCGAGATTTTTACTCCATAATATAGTTTATATATTTAATTTAGTATTATATAACGTGGCGATTAATATTCTTTAATTCGATACTTACAATCTTTGTTGGAGGTTTAGATCGTAAAAATAAATCTGTATTCACAGGCTCTTCGACAACATCGTTCCAATAATCCTAAAATAATCAAAAATATTTAAGAATTTGCGCGGGAATATTCAACTTAGCTATGCAACAAAATACATTTAATTGCATGTTATCATATTGTATCGGATTAAGTCATACTGTAATAATGCATATTTTATCCAACAAACAAAGACTCACACCAGTTCGAAGTATATTTCTGTGGATGACATCATCAGAAGGATTTATTGGAGTCGCAGCTTCGAGTAACGCTGATTGCCTAGCCACTTCTAATACTATATGAGACGGTGCCTACAATTAACAATAATGTTGATATTACACGTAGATTATCTTTAATACTTACTAATAATTGGTTACCTGTACTGGAGTGATCGATTGTTCGTATAAGTCGTTCTCCAATAGGAATTCCTGGATGTGTGTTACAAAATATTAGAATGTATAAATGAAAAAAAAATTGCTAATAATTAGACTAGAACGTAAAAAAAGACAGAAACTGAGCGCAGGGAATAAATAATATGTAATATATTTAAATAAGGTAGATCCTTATTTATGCCGCAGTTTCATAACATAGCTAATAAATAATATAATTAATCTAGAATTCACTACTACAGACGTTTTAACTTCCTACACATATGTATAATCACTACTATTATTATTATTATTAGTACCTACGCAATAAGTATTAATATCAAGTTTGCAAATACCTTTACAGTCTTGTCTAAATTGTCTTCGTCCGTAATATTTATAACTGGACCTTTTTTCTGTAAGTTGTACAGTCCTTTTATCAGCAGTTGAAAAAAAAATTATTAAAATCTGAACATTTGTCTTAACTACTCACTTCGGTATACGGATATTGTAGAACAAATCGACGGCCAAAGTCTTTAAAATAATTTGGTATTTTAAAATGATTATAACCATAGGTCCCAGCGCTCTTCTTCTCTTCGTTAAGTTTGACCCTCTGTCAAATTAATGATAAAACTTCAAAATATTTATTCCTTTTAATATTTTTTTAAAAATAAGTAACTGTTCCGGAAGTTGTGGGGGATGATAACCTTACCCCTCCTATTTCCCCCCTCCACTCTCAACCCCCAATTAGGGCAACGTATTTCTAAATAGTATAATTATTTAATATTGCTCCAAACAAGTTATGGGGATCGGTAGGTATATCTGACTGAAGTTTACACGTCTCAGCCTGATTTTAAGTTGTAATCAAACTTCGTTTATTATTACTTAATTAGTTACCTACTATACTCATTCGTAGACAATACATCTTCTACAGAGTTTTGCTTACCACTCTTTCTTCAAATGATCTGGAAATCGCCTCCATATTTTCCGCGTATTCGTTCAACTTAAACATTAAATAAATATTAATGCAATACATACATTCACCTGAAAATCACGAACTTAAATATTTTTTTAATCTTACACACAGACCAAACTGTTGAAGACAAAATATTAAAGTAATTGATATTAATTTATAGAAGATTTTCATGTCGTACTCTTGCTAGTAAATGTTAGTTTTCTCAAGCCTACTTGTCAAGTACGAGTAGGTATTTTTTATGAGTTATGGTCATGCTTCGTAGTAAAATATAATTATTTTGATACTTAATCTAAAATTAAATGTGTTGTTATACTATTCAGAAAGTTAAAAGAACTACGTCTGTTGTATCCTGTTTACTATTACTATTAATAATACCTAATACCGATTACTAGTAATATATACCTAAGTATCTACCGTATGACAAAAACGATTTAAATGTTGTAAGGTATCTTGACAAATGATTTATTAGAGGTTTTGTAATGACGTTTTTGGTCTAAGTCCTTATCTAACTAGGTAACAGGCAATAACCAGACATACAAAACGGTTTTTAGTTAACGTTTACAAATATATAGCGCATTCCCTATTTCTAAAATTGTTACCACAATTACAATTTTGAAGTTCATAGGACTCAATCCTTGTGCTTGTATTTAATTCTCTTAATTCAATGCAATTAATGTAATTAATAATTATCTTATTTTATTATGTTAAAAAAAATAACTTAATTATATGACAGCTAACACTAACACATACAGCTCCAGATAATTATAACATTTACGTAATGACAAGTATCATAATATTGTCAAATATAAAATTTCACTTTGACATTGACGGTCTTAATTCTTCGGAGTCAGACTTCAACAAGTTCAACATTGAAAATTGGGGTTTCCTTTTGACTTATGATTTATTTCGTACATAAAAATTATACCCACATTATCATGCTTGAAGATGATAATAGAACAATGTAATCAAATTTGTATAGATTTGTGATTGCCATAACTTATTCCAAATCTTTTATTGTTTTATAATTGGTTTGTCCGTTTAACATGTAGTACGACTGATTGACGACGTTGTACTGGTTTGAGAGATGAATATTCTTCTCTTCGCTTTTGTGTTGTGAAAAAGGAAAAAAATGTTTGGAAGACCGAGGTGCAGGGAATGGACTCCTTTAACCACACAGCAACTTCGATTACGAAGTTTAATCCAGGTGAGCATTACCATTAAAATTATCTTAGTTTTTTTAAAATCACAGGTGACCTCAGCGAAAATTTACTAACAAACGCCTACACTTAGTGACGTATATAATTACGTCCCTAATAAGAGTAAAAAATTTGCTGAAACAACATAGAGTCGGTGAAAACTATTTCTATATACATATTTACCTAATTGTCTAACATTATTGTTATGTTAATTTTACCAGATTCACTTAATATACCACTTAATGTACCATTACAACCCAGTTTGCCAAGTTTATTTGAATCAATGCAATATTAATTTTATCTAACAATCTCTTAATTTTCTTTAAATTATTAAATTAATACCAATCCTTGCATTTATATTTTCATGTTATTGTGAGAACATTTTAATAACAGGATTCCTAAATTTAGATATTTAATGTAAGAGATTCTTAAATAAGAATTATATACAGATTTGTATTTACCTGCCTTAATAAGTTGTCTTAAGATGATGCCTTTCTTTCTGTGTAAATACACGTTACAGTAACTCACATTATATTAAGCTTGACTAGTCCAATTGTATGTAGGTCAACCTAAATATAATGTAAATTTCTTATCACGAACAATGTTCTTTTAGATTGTTGGCTACAACATACGCCCACCAGAGTGGTGTAATCATCAATGTAGCTATTACTTAACTCTACATCACACAACAATGTCAGCGCCGTTCTATACAAGTGAGAGAATATCATCACCCCATCCTAAATGGAAAGAAATTGATTCAGGTATAGTACTAAATATTTGTGAGAAGAGTCAGAATATAAAATGTTCCGTTACATAAATATCTGTAATATTTACAGTAGTTCATATAAAGAAGAATAGTATTAAAATTTTAATTTACTTATAATTTAGAAAACCAATTATTAATTTACTAATAAATACCATTATGATTTAGAAATATAAATCACATTTAATCTTAACATTCTAAGTCAGAGTTATTTTCAGAAATCACTCAACGCATAACGTCAACAAATGTTGTTATACGAATCTGGTGTCATATGCTCTCAACTTGCAAAGACGGTGAAGAAACAATTGATCAAATCCAAGATACAATAATTCAAACATGGGGCGTCTATTTTAGTGGTCTTAGATACATTGGCGCGAATTTAGCACTAAATTTTAATTCAGATTGCTTTAAAAGCAACACACTTGTTTTCCAAATGCTTGGAGGCTACTTCTGTTCCTATAAAAGTTTAAAATTAGATATAATCCCACCAGAAAATGAAACTGAACAGGGTTCTTTTTCATCAGATTCATCAGACCGTTCTAAAATTGAGTCTAAATTGATAAAAGACATACAGTCCATATCTCCCGGAAAATTAAAAAAGTTAGATAAAGAATACTCTAAAAGTCACAGTCCAGTTGATAGAGGCTTTAAGCAGAGTTTCCCAACTCTCCGGCCCTCATCTAGTTTAAATATAGGTAGGAAAAGGGATAACAGCGCCGAGAGGATGCATAATCACAATCAAATATACGAACATTCGCCGGATTTAGTTAAAGAATTTAGGACCAGTGATATCAACTGTGATATAAACGGCGAAGACGTATCGAGAATAGATTTGAGTGAAACTGCCGAAAGTTACGATTTGAGGAACGAAATGGACGGTGTTCCAAAATACCGATACATGGCACTGAATTTTCTAAAATCGGAAATTAGACCGAGCTACAACGCGACTAAATTGCAAAACCTCCATTTACTACAGTATGCTATAAAGAAAAAGCAAGAAGCTGTTCAAGAGATTAAGGAAAATATATATAAAAAGTCAGCGTTGTGTGACTCAATATCGCCGGAATTTGAAGGAAAGTTAAAAAATAAAAGTAAATCACAGAGAAATTTGTTTTCCCCACTTGAAGATGATTTAAATAAGATAAAATCTTCTTCGCACTGTGATTTGACCAAAAACGGAAGGATAAAGGAAGATAAAACGCCTGTATCTAATGGACCAAGACTGACTTTAAAATTAAATGATTTGCTTTCATATAAGGTAAGTTGTTTATTATACTCAATTCTTTAATGCTAATGACCATCTTTAAGATAATGAAAATGTTTTGTTGCATCTATAGTTTTATTAGATATATTATTTATTTATATAAAAAGTATATGTACATAACTAACAGGTAACACTGAAAATTTTTAGAAAATGAAAAACGACTTAATGTAGAAAGTTGCCAATATTTTATTGTTTTTCGGGTCTCTTCTATGGCATTTTCGTACTCTTTCACCGCATCTTCAGGGCTCGTAAAGCGATTGTCTTTTGGTTTCGGGTTCTTAGCAATATATCCAGCTTTCATCACCTGTGAGGATGTCAAATACAGCATTTGAGTCACCGACGTTGAACTTTAACATTTGGCGACATCAGTCCATGCGAAGGTCGTCGGTTAAAGTATGGGGAATCTGGTACAAAGCTTCCTGACGCCTAAATGTTCGTGTAATATTTTTTGAACTTGACTCATAGCAATGCCTAGGCTTGCCCGTATCTGCTGATAGGTCACTCTCTTATCTTCCTCTATCATGCGTCGCACAGCACTGATGTTATCTTCAGTAGTCGCTGTTAAAGGACGTCCCTCACGCGGATCATCATTGAGAGTGCTACGTTCACGCTTAAACTCGTTAAATCAAATGTATATAGTGGCACGAGATGGGGCTTCATTAAGAAATGCTAATCGCAGCTTATCATAGCTTTGTGGTTGAGTACCTACAACGAAAGTCATAATAAATCATTGACCGAAAATTTTCTCGCGTTAGAGAGTTTTAGATTTGCCGCCAATTCACAAAAACAAATGACAAAGGAATGCAATAAGGTTACCAAAGAGTTTTAAAATTGGAATTCAAAAAAGTTTTCATTAGAAATGTTTCTAACTGGCCCGTTCTAAAAATTTTCAGTGTTACCCACGTATATGGAAGTGGAACTTTTTGGTTTAAGTTAACAAGAAACTTTTTTTTTAGTCTAAGCCGTCTCCCTTCCAAAGGGCAGAGCACATTAGACTAACGAAGCAATTAGAAATACTTCATTTTAAGCGACTTATCCTCTCAGATGAAAGAGATAGCAAATATGCAAATATAAGAAGACTGAAAGAGAGGCAGGCTAGGTTGTTTGAAGAGAATCAGGATGTTGGTAAGTGAACATAAGCTCAGATAAAAGTTTTTCTATACTAATATAATAAAGAGGTTGAAAAGTACTGGACCGATTCCATGAACTCTTTCGCCACTTGAACTCTACATTATATCTGAGTAACATAGGTTATATTCATTCATCCAAACTATTTTAATAAAGACATACAGTGTAAACTCTATATAACGATACCCAAGGGACTGTGCCTATTTTGACGTTACAAAGAGTTGCCCTAAAGGCTCCCACACAAAACTGCGAATTCGCACGAACGCAACGCAAGAATTTCCGATCTGCTTCGCATCGCACATTCCTGCGATTTTACGTCATCCTTGGTGACACCATTTTAGACCGCTCTGAGACAGCTTTAGAGAAAAATGGCGGAATATGACATAGAGTTTTTAATATCTTTAATTGAGGAGCGTCCCGTCCTTTGGTCCTGACCTGATAGTCAGTCCCAGCATTTCCAAAGGCATAACAGGAATTCTTCCTTTGTACGATCGTTTTTGAAGGCATGGTGATAATATACTCAAAAGCTCTTCAAATGAAGACATGCTCATTCTAAAATAATAAAAAAATTTATCTTCTTCAGTTCTCAACGCATAGTACTTTTGAATAAAATAGTTCCCATCAGAGTTCATAATCGTAATGAATGGATGAACCCAGAATCTTCTTTTTCTTTTATATCTATTTAACAATAACAGCAGTGCAATAATCTTTTTGCGATCCATCTTACGCTTCTTAAAAACACGTTCAGTACGGCTGACTTATGGTCGCCCTTTTTTTTTTTTTTTTTTTGTTATCCGAGGTGGAAATGCATTTGCGCATCCCCTGAACGGGTATGTGGGACTCAACCCAGCCAAAATCTCTGCTATTCAGAGACTGGGTGAGCAATACCCACTAAAACCACCTCGAGTAGTTCCGACAAAGCCGGTTACAGAGGCTCCGGGGTCGCTGTCGCATTCTACCGGGACCTCAACGGCATGTTACACTCAAAACCTCCGGTGTAATAGCTAATAGGAGGTGGAGATGGGCATATCTTCTCCTATTTACTCCCCACTTTACCCTAGGATTCGTCCTAAGGCTCCCTCTCGTTCTGTTCTCCTTCTGTAGCATGAATGCTCACAGAAGGATACCATGCATTCCATACCTCGTCACTGCCGACCATTTTTTGTACAACAAAGGCAAAAGCAAGGTTATTACCCATCACAGAAATAAGATTGTGACGTAGCTGAGACCACTGCGGACAATCCTCCAACGTACTGTGCAGTATCATCATTTGGCCACACTCCAAGCAGCTCGGTGTTGGTTCCCGCCGCACGATGTCATGCAAGTATCGCCCAAAACATCCAGTCCTGTCAACACCTGCACAAGACGAAAGGTAAGGGCACCACTTTTTCTATTTGCCCAGTCATTGTACTGACGAATAGCCTCCACCGTTCTATGCCCCGCGTTTAGTAAGTCTTGGACCATTTTTTGCATTGTAGCTGATCGCGCCAAACGTCTTAAATTCTCGACTTCCTCAACACCAGGGTAAATACCTTCAGCCCTCGACTCCATCCGGTATTGTATACTAAAGTGAGAGCCTCAGCCTCTAACTCCCAAGTATCCAGCCAATATACAGCAAGCGTAAAAGACACCGTTCGGTAACAACGGACTATTCTTCTTGCCACAACCCTTTGGGCCTCCGTAGAAGGATTTTATTGGTTAAAGTGAGCGAGTCTTGCCACACTGGGGCTCCGTAAAGTGCCATGCTTCGAATGACCCCACAGTAAAGCCTCCGACACCGTTCGTCAGGTCCACCTATTTTGGAAGCAGACGACTCAGTGCCCCTGCTGATCAACTGTTCGAACCAAGAGCTTTAAAATGATCCTCAAACTTCCACCTACCATAAGAATGAGCCCTAAATACTTATTTACGACCAACCGACACTCTAACTTCATTAACAATAATTGTCCCTAGAAGGCGGGCCACCTCTTGGCCCGTGAAACAAGAGCGCACTAGTCTTTTCAAGAGCAACCTTAAGTCCTAGTAGGCCAATCCTATCAACTACTGAGGTCCCAACTTCTACTAGACGTACCACTTCTTGGAAGTCTCTACCTTGCGCTACAATAAGGGTATCATCTGCATAGCAAAACATTTTTAACTTAGGTAGCAACGCACCCCTAAGCACCCAATCGTATCCAAGTTCCATAAAGGGCCCAGTACCGAGCCCTGAGGAACCCCGCACTTCATTGGCCACCGAACCAGCTCGCCTGAGTCATTTACATACAGAATTTTACGATCTTCTAAATAGCTTCTGACAAGATTCTGAAGATATAAGGGCACACGTGGAAACGGAGAGCCTCCATTATGACTGTAAACGGCAAGCTATTGAAAGCATTGGAAATATCCAAGGAAACTGCCAAGGCCTTACCTCCACTACGGACAGCTTCCATAGTAAAATGTTTCAAGGCGCCAATTGCTTCTAATGTTGCCCAACTCTAAATCCGTACTGAGCGTCGGCTAAATCTGACCAACACATAGTTGACTTAAGCGCCAAACATTCCTTTCTAAAGCTACCCACCTCTTAAGTAAAACTATTGGGCGGTAGCTGATGAAGTGTCTTGCGGGCGACCAGGCTTGCGCAATAACTAGACGCCCCTCCTTCCATAGTTGCGAAATTGTCCAGTAAGAAAACAAAGATTAAATGATCCCGCATTTCACCCTCTGATATTCAACAGCAATTGCCAATAACGGCCGTGTATACCGACTGGACCTGGGGCTCTCCTACGCTTTTGTAGACGATCCACTACGTTTGCAAATTCCACATCACTAACCAAGGGAATCTCGTTTTCTATTTCTGGTCTTATATCAGAGTCATCCGTGAGGAACAATGTTGGGGTCAGCGGGAAATAGTTCAGATACTCTGGCGACAAAGTCTACCGGAGTGTCTCAGTTAGTGAAGGACCTCCTGCCTGCAATTTATTTCGTACAAGACGGTATGGGCGTCCCCATGGGTCCTGATTGAGACTTTCGAGAAACTCACTATGTGCCTTATCCTTAGCCTGACTAATAGCCAGTTTAGAGCCTTCTTATGTTCTACAAATTGAGAGTGAAGTCGTTGTTCTTGAGCAGCATCACGACGATGTCTTCGGCGATTGCGAAGATATGCTCTTCTAGCACTGTTGCACATTTCACGTAAATAAGCAATATTCTCGTTCCACCAATGAACCATTCTACGTGGTGGCTGGCGCCTCCATTTTGACAGAAGTTTGATATTGCTTTTGCCGCAGTCGAAGACGACTAGCTGCTTCATTAACGTCTTAGGCCAAATAGCGGGTGACACCAGGCTTGTACAATAGCCGCCTCTTCTGCTAGATCCTTATTTGACTGCTGAGAACCCAGCGTGGGAATGCCTGTCTATTAACACCCACTTCATACCGTCTCTGGGATTTAAAAATATTGAACCTAATATAGGATGGTCCGACAGAGTCTCAATATCTTCCGCAACTTTCCAATTTTGCACCGAGGAGGCTAGACTTGGTGAAGAAAATGTTAGATCTACCAAGGATTGCCCTTGCGCCCGCACACAGGTTGGAACGTTCCCTCTTTTAAGCAGAAAAAGTCCCAATTCTGTATACCATTCCTCTACAAATTTACCTCTATCGTTAGTGAGGCTATCACCCCATTTTGAGATCGGGCATAAAGTCGCCTAATACTATTACTGGCAATTGTGCTGTTGAATTGGGAGACATAAGTTGTCCAGAAAAGTAAGAAACTCCGATAGTTCTCTGTTGGGAGAAAAATAAACAGCAACTATAGAGGCCGTTCCACTCAGCCACAACATAACCTATACCACGATCCTTTAAAAATACGTGTGCCTCTCAAAGGCAACTTCCGCCGCTTCTTCTTTAGCCTCCTTAAATGCTTTCCTGGCTTTTCCAATACCAACACATGAGAACTCGGCTTTTTCTTCACAGTTTCCCTCCTTGAAACCGATTGTTCTGTCTCAGTATCAGAAGCAGATATACCGTCGACATCCAGAGGCTCCTTGAAGAAAGACCGTTTACGGGTCTTAGCCACCCCAGATATGCTCGATTCCGAGCTATAGTCATCCATTTTGATTAAAACCACAACCCTAATTATCAAACCAAGATATCATTACAAAAAAAAAAAAAATTATAATAATAATAATATATACCTATATAGAAAACAACAACAGACACAAATACAACGACACAAAGATTAAGAACCACGAATACTTTTGGACCTATTATCCGAAGACTGCGGAAATTAATCAACGCATGACCTTGAACAATTATACCAAAACCAATAAAAGAATGCGGAAATTAATCAACGAAGACACAAACTCTCCTCTTCTTCTAGACACAAACGATTTTCTTCAAACCAATGACGATCACTACTCGTGAAAAGTAGGTACGTCAACGCATAGCAATAACAGCGTCTGCGCTTCACAAAAGACACGTCCGCCTCGGTCGAGAGCTCGACGCGCACCCTCAGGAATGGTCGCCCTACCAAACGGTTTGACGCACTAAATCGTATCGCAAAAAATCGCATGGCAAGTTCCTGCGATGCGAATTCGCATCGCATCGCAGTTTTGTGTGGGAGCCCTTAAATAGAAAGAAAAATCTGTATTAAAAAAAAAAAAAAAAGAAAGTTTATTCCAGACTAGTGTTAGTAATTACATAAAAGCAATTCGTATTTAAACGCTATTGCATTGTCATTTTTGTACTAGTAGTTAGGTTGTATTTTTTTACTTATTTAATTCATATCTTGCGATATGGAGGCATCTTCGTGATAACATTGCATGCATGCGCAATTTGTAAAAAAATAACGGATTTCTTGGAAAGTTCGGTACGTATGACCAGTACCGACAGTCAAGTTTATTTCTCGCTACAACAATAAAGCGTACACAGCTTAAAAAGTACTTTTAGTATTTAATTGTTGTCGTTATTGAGGGTAGGTGTAATACTATGTAGAGTGTATCATTGTATGGAAGACGAGCTTAACCAACCAAAAAAAGGAGTGATTTCGACGCTTAATGGACATACATGGAGTTTATACTGTATTTCCAATTGAGAGAGGTTGCTAGTCTGTGACACAATTCATTAATAAACCATGTTCCATGCCCTTTAGTGAATCATTTTTGATGGGTTTATACACGCTTAAAAATAATAAAATAGCTACCATTTATTAAGAATTTTCCTCTACAGTACTTTTTAAGGAAAATAATGTTTTTTTATGAAAACGTTCCGAATTGAGTCACTTCTGAACGCTTTAAAGCTGTCCTGTTGTGGCAATGATAAATTCTACAATCTGGCAACGACATATTTATTTATTTACTCAGGCTCTGAGCTGATGACGAACTACTACGCGTTATCCCGTCGCAACGAGTCGTTAAAGGAGTTGCGCGAATCGTGTAGTGCGATGCGTGAACTCGCAGCGCGAAATCACGCGGCGCTTAGTAACTGTAGAAGCGAGTTATTGCTGCACCTGCAGAAGAT